ACATGCTTTCTTCTTTTCCCGGACGTCTGGAAAAGACGATGAAAAGAACGATGAAGTTTACCAGAATCCTAAATTTTCAATGTAATTATTCTTTTTTGTACTATATTGTACTTCATGGTCCTTATAGTAAGGAAAGGCGACTCGACGCTGCTAAACCAAGCAAACTATCAGAAACGTGTTTACCAACAACAAACTCGTTGAGTTTAAACTTCTGGCTGGCCACGTCTTAGGGTTATCACTACGCCAGTAGGGGGAAGCGATCTGTAGCGGTAAATAATTCCCCAAAACAAATAGCTCTGTAAGTTTTCGACCTTTGATGCTGACCACATTAGTTTTAATGGACTCACCTAGCTGAAGGTGCTCGGTCGTGTATCCTCACCAGATCATAAGTAGGAACGCCGTGCTCAACAACCTCTGTTGTTGAAAGGGTTAAAATCATCCTGTGACAGCCATAGAGGGATTACTTTCACTAATATAGCATCTAAAACACTAGCCTCGATAATTGACGGGCGCCTAGCTAAGACTCGTGAACTGCAAACACGAGAGAATCAAGCTGGCTTCAGACCTGGTCGTGGCTGCATTGACCACTTATTCATCATTCGTCAGGTTTTAAAACACAGGCATACTTATCGACGTCCGACGATGGTGATCTTTCTTGACTTAAAAGCAACATTTGACTTTGTGGACCGCAAGATTCTGTGGCAGTGTCTGTCGTTGAAAGGTGTACCTCAGAAGTACACAAACCCTGTGAAAGCTCTTTACTCGAACACTACTAGTCGAGTCAGGGCTTATGGCGAACTGTCATCTGCTTTTGCAACCTCAAGTGGTGTCCATTAAGACTGTCCACTTTCTCCATTTTTGTTTAACTTCATCATAAACCTACTGATGGAAATAACATCCTCGTCGACTGAATTCTCGGGTATTGATCTCCTTCCAGCAGGTCTACTTGTCGACTTAGAATACGCAGATGACATAGTCCTATTTGGTGAAGATGCTTATAAAATGCAGAGTCTTCCGGTGGCTCTAAGCAACAATCCCAGAATGTTCGGAATGCGCTTCTCTCCCTTTAAATGCAAGTTGTTGCTTCAGGACTGGTCTGCGTCAACACCTGAACTAAGGATAGGGAGTGAAGTAGTCGAACGCGTTGAAAACTTCACTTATCTTGAATGTCTGATCAGCCCTATTGGGTTGGTGTCTGACGAAATCTCAGCACGGATTCGTAAAGCTCGCTTGGCGTTTGCTAATTTACGTCACCTATGGCGAAGGCGATGTACCAGTCTATCAATCAAGAGACGAGTAAACTGCACGGCAGTTCGTTCTGCTCTACTTTACGGCAGTGAAACATGGCCAATAAAAGATACTCGTAAACTACTACTAGTATGTGACCACATTTGTCTTAGAAATATTGACAGCATCTGCTGGGATCATCAGGTAAGTAATAGTGAGTTTGACACAGGGTATTAGAGAATGATGGTAAGTCAGCTGATGAGGTAGTGGATCTTCATCGACTAAGACGGTTGGGCCAGGTGTTACATATGCCTGAACACCGATTACCACGACGAGCAATAGTGACTAGTTGGAAGAAAGTTGGGAGCGACCAAACCAAAACGTGACATTAGTGTTTGAAGTCACTAACTCCTAGTTTGAGCCATGCTGGTATATGCAGGCTACTTGGTTAGGATCCGCGTGACTATCGTAACCAATAGTTGGAGACTCTTGGTGACATGGCTCAGAATCGATCACAACGGCGTCGGTGTATTCTTTCTCTGTCTTCCCTTAAATTAACAGATTAGAATCGCTTCATACCTTTCTTTCTACGAACCAATTCTTTCTTCCTGTACTATATCCTTATTGCAATCTTTCTTTTATATATTACCACCTCTGAATTAACTACGTTTATGAATCCAGTGTTCATTTTGTTGTGTTAATGATGTATGGCAACTTGGACAGATGCATATGTGCCTGGTCCTACGTTGTAGCTGACTGACGGACGACAACTCCTGCAATCGCTAGCCAGATTAGATCAGACGATCCTCGATATATTGATAGCCTATCAAATATATCTTTGAACCTTCTCGCTTCTGTCTTTTGATTTCATTTGGTGGGTACGATTCATATTAGTTGCTACTGGTTAAAGCGTTGTTAAACTCCGAATACCTGTATCTTCAGGTTGTATAACACGGAAAAAAGGTTGAAGCATTCTAATCGTTTGATTTAAGAGAGAATGACAATCTCCGTCACCAGCTCGGTACTTAATCTTTGGGTACTATCAAGGGTATTTTTATCTGCAATCACATCGTGGCTAGCAACCCGGATACAATATTGAAAATGAGACCTGCCGTAGATGAGTACATAGAAATCTCTTCCAACCAAAGCAATGTGGTATGGTACACTACAGTGCTCCACTGATTTAGGGTGATAGCTTTGAGTTACATCTAAATCTTTCAGCTCTATAATGTTTGGCAATGGTGAGCTGTTATTTGTAAATTGATGGCCATCTTTAGGCCCAGCCTGTATCGCTTTACTTAAGAAGAGGTTCAGTACTAAGCAGCAAAGTTTAGACCATGTAACCATTACGTCTGAGTCAGTTTAAAGCTTTGATCTATCAGTTTCCTCGCTCAGTACACTATTCGATATAAACTCATTGGGAAAGAATGCTAAAATGATTATTTCAATATGTACGGACACATTCGCTCAATTAGTTTCAAACTATTCCGGTTCATTTACTTTTTTAAAGTTACAATTCCTGACTGGATTATCCATTATTGATATCGATTGAAAACTTGAAAACACACTCACTATTATGCTGTAATAAGCCTAAGGTTGTTCATTTAGAGATGAATTATAGGTACCACATATTGATTATATTTTGGGGACAAGATTGATATATTTTGCATGCCTTTTAATGATGGATATGAATACCTGTGGCATCTTCACTACTAATGAGTGCGTCGAGACTGTAATTTATGGACGAAACAATCAAGTCATTTTAGTGTCGTTCAAAGATCGTTAATAAATTATGGTCTCATCATATGCACCTATCCATTTAATTATCACTGTCTATTTTACCTTCGTTCATAGACAATATGCCTTGACAATTTAACATACGACATAACTGTTCAGGATGGACTTCGCGAATGCATCAGTTTTACTACAAATCAATTGTCTTCTTACAGCATTATATTAATTTTGCGTCTAATCATTTGTTAGACACATTCTGTAGATTTTATGCAACTTATTATTATTAGCATTTTATGACTAAGTATTGGAATTGTAACCAATGTGTTACCTTAATTAACCATAGTTCCGCACGGAATTCAACATTCAGAAGACAAATCATTTTCTAGTACAATGTTTATATTAGACGTCTAGAAATTGTCAGAAAAGCAACTTAATTTCAACATGGTTAGTATTGTACTGACTGGTTGTTAATGTAATTAAAAATGTCGAACTGGTTGAACCCATTAAACTTTATGTTCACAGGATTTTGCGTTAGGCTGTTATGGTTGTAGGAGAAGTGACGATACTACCCACATAGTTAAACTGCATTTGATTTTGCATCATGAAACTTACGAACCTATATGAAGCTAATATGCTTCAAGAGATACAAGACACTTGCTTTATTCCACCGCTAGCCAAGATAAAAATATGTTAACTGTCGTAACGAGACTCATGTGGCTTCAACAATAAAATAACACAAGTGTTGTGAAGTAGTGGCCATGACAATAACAAATAGAGTTAAGAGCATGGGTTTTTTCTCAAGGGAGGGACATAGAGGTTGAGATTGCAGTTGATAAGACATCAATCCGACAGAGTAACTGTTTCCTTTTTGTTTAAAATTACGGTAAATACTTACCCACTAATTATGTGACATGAAAGTCCAGTTTATTAATCTCTGCCTAGAAGACATAATCGAGTCACCTTTGAAGAGTTATATTGGGAATCTGTTATAAGACTAGAGGATGCTCTATTCACAGTAGTGAAAGAATGTTTTTCAAACTAGTGGTCTCCTCTCCAAGCTACAGAACTCTATGCCCAAAAGTATGGCCCTCCGGGATAATGGTCCAGTTAGACTGACACATTCTTACATGCACATATACAATAAATAGGTCTGTAGTTCAGAATGTTTTGACTAAATTGATCGAATTCGGAATGTGACAACTGCCAAATGAATACAATTGTTGTGGAGATTAAGAGTATATTTTGTCCTTGCTAACAATTTATACCCAATCAATGGTACTAAGACTCCCAGAGTCAAGAACTAAATGGCAGCTAAATAGGAATAACACTACTTTTGCACCAGAGAATGAACAAATTAGTCACTATCTGTAGGAGAGCACTCTGATCGATTTGACAGTGAGAGTTAAAACCCAGCATCCGGTACCTTAGTGGTTGGAACTAAGAGCCAATAGTTTGAGCCTAACTGCTACCATAGTAACCAATCAAGACACATATAACTTTACAATATGGTCTTAAAACTTCTATGCAAACTGAAATCACTAGTCCACGCGACAAACTCATGACAAGATTATGTAAAATACTCAACACTACAGAAGATATTTAGATTCGAAATATCCAACGGCAGGTTTGAAATATTATAGGTCTTAACAATTAATGCAGTTTTAGGGCCCTTAATGATGTTTAGACAAAAAGAGATGTAACCTAGTAACTCATTACTTAGCCTAATTGGATCCAGTGTTATCCAAAAACGTACACTCATCTTGTTAGACCGACTCAATTATATGGATAATAAGTCCACGTATGCTATTTACATCCAAAGGTTTCATCTCTCAAAATTCATCATTAACTGTGCTGGCGAAATAGTGACATCGATAAAGTGCAACTCGATTATTACATTTTTGTAAAGCCACTAAAGCCCATGGTACGTAAATTGACGTTATCAAAGCTAATGGACCATGTCGACTGATATCACTAGCCAGGATTTGGGATACAAAACGCGTCGATTTAAATGTTAGCAGAATGTATAAAAAACAAAACTATTTGGAAAAATATTTTTTAATAGAAAAGAAAAAAACGAATGTATTTATCTTTGTGTAAATTAGATCATTAGTATCGTAAATATGAAGACAGTAAAGTTAAAACAAAAGATTCAACTTTATAGGAAAAAGTTTGAAGTCGTAATAAATATTTACAGACAAGCATGCGGAGAATATAGGAACTCACATCAATTAGACAAAATCTTAGTTTTACAATCCTCATTTGTTTGGAAGGAAGTTATCGCTGATGAATTGCTGGAAGAGGTCGAGGCAGTACTGTTATTTGCATCAGAATAAGACGGTACAGAAAAGAACCGACCACCAGAGCTTCGTATGCGGTTCATAGCATGCTTATGTCTGGACTCATGAAGATATTTCCGCCTTTCCTTCGGAATGCGGCCTTGTGCCTCTAATTTCGCTCGTGCTTGGCGACGCTTTAGAATCCTGTGGTACTGTTTAGCATTAACGTAAAGAGGTTCTTCACCACCAGGAGTAAGACCAGGTGATATTGTTGAGGATGCTTGTGTGGACATTCCCTGCTGACCGATAGCAGTTTCAGGTTGCGGACTAGAAACTTGGACAACTTGAGTGTTTGAAACGGCTTGAGATAATCCAGACTGGGTCTGATGAATAACTTGGACTTGCGAAGACTGCTGTAATTGTTGAAGTATGTGAGTTTCGTCTTCAACTGTTGTCCCTATAATCTGCCCTTGAGCCGATGTAAGATTAGCGTCCAAAGAAGTGGTTGCAGCAGACACTATAGGCTGAGTTGTGTAAATTGTTTGCTGAGCTGCACTTGGAAGGAACATGATAACCTGACCCCCACCAGCAGACGTAGCTAGTTGAACTGGGATTAAGCTACCATCACTAGCCTGGACGGCGAATGTAGTTGGTTGAGCAGCACCGTTTGCATCCATTATCAAAGGCTGTTGCAACGGCTGTAGAATAGTTTGGGCTGGAAGGACTTGACCAGCGTGTATATAACCGTCCCTGAAGTAACACAAATGCGAAAATTAAAGATGCGTAAACTTGGAGGCAAACGGCATAAATAACAAAGACAAACTTGTCCAGTATGAATATGGTTATAATAAAAAGTCAATACATCACCCATGCAAGAAAGTATACGTTACGAGTTTGCTAAAGTGATCATGAATTATTTATATACCTTCCTGAGAATATCTTTTTATAATGGTCCATAGGGAAGCGTATGCTTAAAACGATATTAGTGACTATGCTTTGCAATTCCAATAACTTGATGTAAGGCAGTCATATAATTCTCAATGAACCGAAGTAGACAGTCAGGAATAATATCCGTATTATTACAGAACATGGTAACAGATCTACCAGAAATTACTCAATTTTATAGAATAAGCAGTAACATTGCCACTTACATTCCCGGTTCTTGCTTAGTGATTTTATGAACCTGCTGACTGATGTCGCTGGGTTGCGTATTTCCCGGTATTGATTCACGATTATGGAAAATCCAGCTGTAACAAGAATGATACATGTCAAGCTTTAACCGGGTCGGTGGATCAGTCAGCAATAACTTAGAACTTCGTAAGGACGTACCTCAGTTAGGGTTGCCATACCACATTTGCACAGAGATGCAGTTGTCGATCCAAATCTCATAATGGCAGAGGTAGTAAGAGTATAAACAGTAATCAGAAACATCAGGGTTTGAAGATGTTATTCAAGGAGTATAATCCAGTGAAATAAATTGCGAAAAGAGGAAAAAGGGACACAAAGAATTCGAAAGATTAAGATTTAGGAGAAAACAAAAAGTTGATGCACCTGCGCTATTGCAAACGAACATGAGCCATGTCATTCAAGGTCTCTAACCATCGGTTGCTACCATCTCGCGGATCCCAACCAGGTAGTCCACAACTACCAACCACGTCCAAACTATAGATATACGCCTAAAATGTATCATAACTACGACGCTTTGGAATGACAATTGGTAACTAGAAAGCAGCAATTAGGAATGATTCTTTTCTTGACCCCCAAATCAGTCAGTCAGTAACAACGTAGAACTTCATACGTATGTATGTACATCAGCCCCCAAATGCCCTGGTACGGCCGAGGGTGGGGAGAGTCCGCTCTCACATGGCCACGCGTATAGAGCCACCGACCGCAAAATCCTACTCATTACCTTCTCGTGGTGGCTCAGTTGTTTACGAAAATGAAAGGATGAAAGCGAATGTCCGGGGCTTGAGTCGGACTGGTGGATATAGAGGTTGGACCTAAGGAAGTTGGAAAACCCTGATTCTAAACCATTGGTGCACACGGGCTCCAGTATTCTGAAGGAATGAATGGCGTATGAACCAATTATTGGTCACCGGCTACCATGGGACTGCACCTCCCCACGTTGCTCCATGGCTTTGTGGATTAGATCTTTGAGTCAAAGGCTCTGGGTGTGGCCCACCTAAGAAAATCACATACTTCGGTCTGGGCACCCGGGCAGTATCACAGCCCACGCAAACCAAGTGACTTGTGTGGTGCATATCCAATTGGTGCTTCCTTGTACCAATGCTTACGTGTTTAAATAAATTAATAAAAGTCCAACCACTACTATATTGATCGGTGTATGAGTAGGGTGAAAGCTAGGGATGACAAAATGGAAAAGTAATGCCAGCCCACATAGTCATCGACTAGTGAACTGAGTTATTTTGGTAAGTACAGACAATCTAGCTAGGATGTGTGCGATAATTGTGATCAGTTGTTGGAGCTGGTGGGTAGTCTTAGAAATAGTCATACCAGGGCAGATGGATTTATTTTCTTCCCTTGGATACTGAGCTACAAAACTAGTCAGTGCTCTTCCTTACAAGAAATAATTCAAACATAACTTCATATTTCATTTTGCTGTGCTGGTGCGTGGCAACCTGGACTGATACATATTTGCCAAGTTATTGACTGCTAATGAACCGTAACAATGAAGCCTAAATCATAAAACAATTATGTTTTAGTCAGATTATGAAGATTTGTAGCTCAGGTGGATGATTTTGGTGGTTTTGTTCTCTGAGCTGGATGGTTTGGTCGTGGAGCTTTCATCTTTAGCCGGGTTCGTGCGCTGACCAGCATAGCTCACAACAATGATCATTGGTTGCACAGATGTAATGCGTGCACTTGTTATTTCACTGAAAAGATCAACAAACAGCCCAACCTAATAACTACTATACGCCCAATTTTAGTGCTTATTGGATGGTTTTGTAGTATGTAAGCATTGCTCTGCAGATGACAGGATATGTGCTTATTACCTTTATTCAAATCTTCGTATTCCCAAAGCATTATGGAGCATATAGCGGTGCGATATATTCGACGTATAAATAAATGTACGTACTACTACGAGATTGTTACATACGTATACTTATCATGCTTATATTTGTCTATTGACGTGAAAATAAGGCAGTGGATTTCGAGACAACAATAAATAGCTCATATCATTATCCACAAAAAATCTTCGTTGGGACTACAGAGCTTTATGATTACTAACAAATACGATGAAAACTGACAGTAAAAATACTGTGAAACTGAACTATCCATACGTCAATATGAGACCCAAAAACATTGGGTCGGTATATGAAAGTTAAGACTAGTAGCACCCTTCGAACTAGTCTTGAAATTGAATTCAGTAAACATGAAAACCGATGTAACTAGGCTACCAGCACAAATCAGCGTAAAACCAAGAGAAACCAGGCGGTAAAAGGTGAAATGATAGGACAGGAACTTTTTTTATAGAAATAATAACGTGTAAGTGAATTTGGAATAAAGAAACCATAATTGGGGTATATTATGTAAGGCCACGAATCATGAAACACAACTAGCTGCTGAAACCCAAGAAAATAATTTAATCCCTTGGACGAATTATGCCAGAAGTTATTTACTTCACACAACAACGACCCTTTTAACTAGTGTAAGTGAACTATACTCCAAAGCTTGTCATAAACACATAACATTGCTTAACTTGATAAAAAAATTACGCACAAGCCAATTAGAAGTTATCTACAAACAATATTTAACTTACATGATTACAGAAGACGTCTAATTTTACGATATACCCCAAGTACTTAAACTCCGGAACCAACTCTTTTGGGCGGGTTGCGTAAAATGAATTCCACCTCATTCTAACAAGCGTCAACACAAAAATTGCTGAAAGCGCTTAAAGTAAGTGAAAAACCTCGAAAATGAACGAATTATATACGAATACTGAATGATTGGTAGGTCAAAAGAATGTTAGCTTGATTAGATTTACCATTGGTGCATCTACTTCTACTTGATTCTCGCTTATTGGGTCATACTCACATGCACGTATCAGTGATAGGTCGAGATTAAGGTGATAATCACTTGCTGGGATTTTCAGTGGCTTAAATTATTCAGCAATCAAGAATGGCAAAGTAAGGAATTGGATAGTTTTTATTGCGTACAAAACAGCAAATAGACATTGAGGTTGCCACTAATTTTTAGGCCAATGGATTCTTAGATTCACTGTCCTTAAAATATGTTTTGACGGCCAATCAAGGTTGCGAGCTTCATATTTAACTTATGAACGAATAGCAAAACTGACGTCCTATCATCTTTGAAAACCAGTATAATTTCTATCAAACACACAGGAGTACATTATATTTGAGTGGTTAACAATAGTAGTAGTGGTCATGAATTTGATGTGAAACAGTGTTTATAATACGCTGTGATAGGATCATTTCACCAATTTGCTGGTGGTTTAGTTTTAAACTTTATACGAATAACAGTTGAGTGTCCAGTATTTGTTTCAATACTCACAACACCAAGTTACTTTGAGAACATTTCCGTAAATCCATAATATATAATTAATATGATCATTAAAATTTGATGAACATAATAATTTATATGATTGTTTTGTCTCTTAATTTTAAAGATGTCTATATCAGTCAGTAGGTAATTTCTGAAAGCCGAGTGAAAGTGGTTTTGATATGATAGGGCTTTGTGAAGGACATCTCGCTCAATCCACTGGTCGATACATAATTATCTCTTCGTCCAGTAATAAAGTAAAAATACCTGTTTACAGCTGAAGTCTATCACACACAAAACTACAAGTGTAATAGTGAATTACGAATTAAATGACATCAGTAACTGACATCAATCCGTGATAGGACAATCTATGGCAACTTTCTAATAAAAGCTATGGAAAGCGACAGAAGGTTTCACAAACTTTAATGAGGAATAAGGATCATTCCCTTTTAAATATAATGGATTCATGTCCCCTCATTCGCAAAACCGGGTCGATAAGATGCCTTTTGATGGAGACCACCCCACCATTCATCATCTCTGACGAATCTTGACAACAGAGGTATCTCGAGTAAATAAATTGTGGACAAGCCCCTTATAATTGCAAGTCTCAGAGAGTTTCGGGAACATCATAAGACTTCTGGATATACTCCGTGACGTGTAAATATTTTTACAAGTCTCCAATATATCAAAAGGAAAAAAGGGCGCGGAGAAATATATACTGCCCTGAGGATATTGCTACGTTTTAACGCTTCCCCGACAAGTATATTGCTAGTCAAGCAAACCTTGTAATTTTGGAGAGGCACAGGTATATCTTTCACCATAGATAAGAACTTAAATATTAATCTACGATACACCAAGTATCTCTTATCCTAGGAATTCCTCTATATATTGAAGTATATGCTGTGTTAGTGTTTCGCCAGAATGTTAGGTGCCACGACGTTTACTGTTTAAAATCATCATCAGTATGCATACTTTAGTGCAGCTAGAAAGACAATATTGTTGGAATACTTTATCTCAATTTACGTAAAACGTCTGAACGAAGGACAAAGAGGAAGACTGTTGTACACATCGAATGTAGTTCAAATATATTCACTAAGATTACTGTTTATACAGTTCAGAAGATGAAGGGGTTAATAATAGCATAGTGTCTCAATCCTCTTTCATCCTAACTAGTCACAAATGCACTAATACACATTACATAACGGTAGAACATTAAAGAATTTCCGCAGATAAGTTTTGGGCGTCATCTTGGAGATTTTAAAAGTTTAGAGATAAATCTTGATGATATAATTATAATCGGAGGAACCACTTAGAGATATTCAACTCTCCATGTTAAAGAACCATTTCTTAAATCTCGGATGCAAAGCTAGAAGACAATACTTTAGTAACTGGAGCGATTATATAGGTGTTCGGCTTACTTTATGATTTGTGCATTAAAAAACGGGAGCTCTTCATTCCAATCTATAGTCGACCGTAATATGGCTGAACTGGAGTGTTGTTGAATTTAGGTCATGGCCGGTAGCAATTAACTTATCTATCTTACTAGAATAACACACTTAATCCAATTTTGTGCGCTTGTTATAGTCTGACTAACTGACCCTTAATATCAGGTCGCATCGTTGTTTGTACTGACTTTCCCTATCGTGGTAGTCGGTAATGTTCTGTTGAAGAAAACATTCAGTGTAGCAAGAAAATTCTATACTTAGTATAAAGAGCAGAAGGATACATAATATGACAATGTCTGCGTAGTCAAGTTATCGCGTCTCGACTTCGCAGTTGTGTGAAGTTCTTATGTCATTACTTATAAACCCTTGTAAGTGATAAACTTGGATAGGCAAATCCTATTCATTGTGTAGTGATGTGATAAGCCGCAGTGGCTGATTTGAATGATTGCAACTTCGATGAAATTTACTTCCAAGATGTGCCAATTTATTCACTCAAGTTGGTCGTTTACAGCTGATTATTTCGAAGACGTTTCAATATGTACTTCAGTCCGGATGGTTCTCAGAAGTTCCACTGTGTAGCCTTTGCCTCGATCAACTTTGCTTATAGATATTTCAGTCCTTGAGAATTCTTTGACATGAAATATATACTTTACAAATCTAAATGCAAGGAATATCCAACAGAATTCGAACATAGTGTCTTGGAAACAGAATTATCACTATGTCTGCTCAACAAAGTTGTAAGTTTGAATTCGTATTCCCCTACTTTTCAGGGTTATAGGTAATTATTTGTTGTTGTTTCCGATATATTCTTCTTGTTTTGGCCATAAAACAACGAATAATTGGCACTCTTTGAAGTGAATACAAGGTTTTTCCATGCTCAATATACATGAGTTGCTCCTTCTGTTCCTTAGCCCCCATCGCAATGTGACCAACGAAATGAATCGTTCCTTCTTACCATTATAGCCTTGTTTATTATTCGGCTTACGGCATCTTATATTCAATAGAGTTGGACACTAGCATTAACTGATTTCATCTTATCCACGGCATTGGCTTGTTTTAGGGAAGCGACAATAACTTGATTACTGGGCTTTTATGTACGTCTAATGCAGAGGTTATGTCCAACATGCGTATTCTAGAGCAAAGTGTGTTTATGTTATGCATCTAAGTAAGGCACTTTCAAACTAGCCTTAATAAAATGGAGTCTAGATCCCATACTCGCTCTTCTAGTTGTGTCGAAATGTCTAAATCTCATGCTATCGTTGACCGTTATCGATTTCTACGACTGTTAAATTTAGTTGTTTTCAATGTACTTGCTGAGTCGTTGGCAAAATCCATCTCAAGTTTTTCTCCTTTTCATATCTCTCAGACTATGTTCTGCATTATGTTCTAGCACGCGAAGTATTTTTTGGTTGGACAAGATCAGTTACATTTATGGCGAAATGACGTTAAATAGTGTATATGTTGCACAATCTACCTAATTTTGAATGGTTTTGTGTGGTTAGGAATCTCGACTGGTCCGGAGTTTCTCAATATCATATGGGTAGTAACTGGGGAAAAATGTTTCCACAGACTATAAAGGAAAACAAGAGTGATTTTATGCTCTCTCGTTGTTTCAAAGCCCCAAGAAAAAAGCCTTCCTATGAGTGAGTCTTATCTCAAAATCCGTTCAAATTTTCGGAACTAGCTTCAAAATTATTGTACATTAGATATATATGAACTAAATATCCTAGATATCCAGTGCAGCTTCTGAATTACTGATGAGGATAACTGGAGTGACCCTTTTTGACAAACCCTAAAGATTTAGTTTTTAATAAATATCGAAGAGACTCAAGAACTCCCCGTAAATTAAGGTAAAACAGTGTGGAACTATGTCCAATACTCTTGTATTTGAAAGCATTCTTCATCTTGAAAACAAAAGAATCTTAATCATGAGTTCAATGCAAACGTTTGAAGCTTCTAATATAGAAACCCGACACAATCTTCACTCTGTTATTAAGTATTTTAAATTGATGTATTGATGGTGAATGGTTTTTGCGAAACGTGTTAACAGTGAAGTCACCGTTCAGTACACAGGTTCTCGATATATGGTTACCCCTACCAAAAATCAGGATAGCCAGAGATTTCCTAGGGATTCTATTTTCTTCTCATAAATGGGATATTTTCTTGATTACTCCTGTTTTGAAGAGTAGTCATGAATTTGTTGTTCATACGGCCTTTTCAAGGCAATGATGAACTTCACTATTTTTCACGCTACAGAATGTCCTAGTTAGGTCTCTCAGGGTTCGGTACTAGAACCTAGTCTTTTCTTACTTTACATGAATGACCTTCGTCATCAAGTATCGTCTGATCTATTATTATTCACTGACTATGTGAAACTTTGGAGGGAAGTTTGCAACCATGATGATAAGTTAGCACTTCAGGAGGACCTGACTCCAATTCAAAGTTAAGAGGATGAAAAGTGACTAAACTTGAATACTTCAAAGTGTTAAGTAGCCCATATGAGATTTGTTGCCGACTATGCATACAACTGAAGTCACTCCTCTCTATTAGTGAACCAAGTTTATAAAAACGTTCTAGGAGCCCTGATAATTTATGATCTAAATTCTTACACTAATTGTGTAAAAATGCCTTTCTAGCAAATCATGCACTTATGGCAAATCTGACAATAAAACGTTCAACATGATCTTCGACATTTTTATTCGAACCCATTTAGAGTACGGAAATATAGGTCGCTTCCTTTCACTTTGAAAGAATATGAATACACTGTGACGTATCTCAAGAAGAGCCACGAAATCAGCTCGGGGACTCGAAGTCAAACTTGATGAAGAGCGCCTCAAATAACAAAATCTTTGCTCATAAGAATATGTGCGTCTCATGACTGACCTAATGACGTATAGCATCTTAAATATTCCTGGGAACCCTCATAAACACTTCATTAAGGTCTGTTTGAGTACAAACCCTGGAGGTAGTACCCAGAAATTAGGGATACAATATAGCAGAATAATCTGCAGGCACAACATCTACTGTGTACGTACAGGTAATTTCTGGAGTTCGCTAGATTTTGAGGTAGTCCAAGCGACTTCCCAGGAGTCATTTAAGAGAAAACGTGACATATTCGTAAGCCCATACGACAGCTTATTGCTTTTATTTAGTAATATTTCTCTTGTTGTTAAATATGTCTAGAGTCCTGCCTGGAGGTATTGGTAATCCACTGATACTAGATAGGGAATCCCGTTAAGC